GTACACAGTTGTACAATGCAGCTGTGTGTGTGCTGGCTGTGTCTGTGTAGGAGCCAGAAACAAGTACACAGTTGTACAATGCAGCTGTGTGTGTGCTGGCTGTGTCTGTGTAGGAACCAGAAACAAGTACACAGTTGTACAATGCTGATGTGTGACACTGAGACAATACAGTCTGTACTTGCAGCTGTGTGTATGACACAGCAAAAAATGGGTACCTGATGGGATAAGTCATGTGACTATAACCTTCTAGCGCCTAACAGGCAGCTTGGGTTATCCGGGGTACTAATGTTTATGTTTATGACTTGGCTTCTGACCACCACAAACAACAGAAACCTGAAACGATCGACTCAATTCGAGCCGATCACATCCACGATCGATGACGATCCTGATGATCCTCTGATTCTGACCATTTGACCAACTCGATTCTGATCTCGACTTCACTTTGATTCCTCGACGGATTTGATCGATCTTTGATTGATCTTCGATCGATTTTCTGATTGATCGATTTCGACGCCTGATTGATTTCGACTGATTTTCTGGATTTCGATCGATTTTGATTGAAAAAAGTCTGAAGATTGATTTCGACTTCGATGATTTGATCGCCGATCGACTGATTTTGATTGCCGACGATTGATTGATCGCCTGAACGGACTTCGACGATCGATTTTGATGATTGATTCTTCCGGAACGCCCGGAAATTTCGATTGATTTTGATTGATTGATTTTGATTGATTGATGCCGAATGTTTTTTGATTGATTGATGTTCGACGATTGATTTCGACGATTGATGTCTGAACTGCCGATTGATCGCCGACGATTGATTTGCCGAATGCCGACGACGATTGTTCGACGCCTGACGATTGATTGATTGAGCGGATTTGAATGTCGACGATTGATGCCGATTGACGATTGGATTTTGATGATTGATGATTTTGATTGATGCCGACGATTGATTGATGAAAACGGATGATTGATGTCGATTTGATTTCGATGCCTTTGATTGATTGATTTTCGATGATCGATGAAATTTTGACGATGATGCGCCAAGGATTGAATGACGATTGATTGATTTTCCGGATTTCGACGATTGATTGATTTTGATTGATTGATGTCGATTGATTGATGCCGGAATTGACGATCGATGCCGATCTCGCCGATTTTTGATGCCGATTGATGATTGATGCCGATGATGCCGGATGATTGATATTGATGAGTTTGATTTTGATGATTGACGACTTTGATTTTGATTTGATGCAAAAGACGATTGATTGATGCAAAAAATGGATGCGATACGAAAATGAATGCTGGATATTGATGCGCTTTGAATGCCGATGATTGATGATGCAAAATGGATATTTTGTTTGATGTTGACGATTGATGCCGGATATTGAAATGCCGATGATTGAAAAAAAAAGATGGAAATGCCGACGATTGATTGATGCGCCGAATGCCAGATTTGATTGATGTGCCGACGACGATTGATTGATGGATGATTTTGATTGATTGATTTGATGACGCCGGATTTGATTGATTGATGATTGATGATGATTTCGGATGATTGATTGATGATTGGATGCCGATTTTGATTGATTTTTGATGATTGATTGCGAATGATCGATTGATTGATTGATGCCGATTGTCGATGATTGATGATTGATTGATGATGCCCTGATTTTGATTGATTGATTGATTGTGAAATTGATTTTGTCGATTGATTGAATGGATTTGATTGATTGATGCCGATTTTGATGGATGATTGATTTTGATTGATTGATGATTGATGATTGATCTTTGATTGATTTGATTGATGGATGATTGATGATTGATGGATTTTGATTGATTGATTGATGGATGCCGATGATCGATTGATTGATTGATGATCTGACGCCGGATGATTGATTGAATGGATTGATTGATGATTTCGAATTTGATTGATTGATTGATTGATTGATGAAATGCGATGTTGATCGATTGATTGACGGATTGATTGATTGATTGATGCCGGATGATTGATTGATGCCGATGGATTTTGATGGATTGATGTTTTGATTTTGATTGATTGATTTGATTTTGATTGATGATTGATGTCGATGTTTTGATTGGATGGATGATTGATTGATTGATGCCGATGATTTGATGATTGATTGATGCCTTGATGAATGGATCGATTTGATTGATGAAACGGATTGATGATTTGATTGATTGATTGATGATTTGATCGATGCCGGATTGATTGATTTGATTGATGATGAAAAAAAGCGATTTTGATGTCGATGATGATAAGTGTTTGATTGAAAAATGACGCGGACGGATGATTGATGCAAAGATCTGATTGATCGATTGATGATGCTGGATGATTGATTTAAAATCTGGAATGCCGATTGATTGATAAAACGATGATGATTGAGGTTGATTGATTGATTGAAAGTCGAATGATTGATTGATGTTTGATGTCGATGCAATGATTGCCGGATTGATGATTGATTGATGATTGATTGATGCGATCGATCTGCCGGATTGATTGATGCCTGATTTGATTTTTGCGGATGAATGCGCTTTGATGATTGATGCTGATTTTGAATTGATTGATTTTGATGCGCGGATTGACGGATCACCGACCTCCTACCTCTCCTACCTTCCTCCTGTCTCTCCACCACCTCCACTCTCCTTTCCTCCCAAGGTTCCTCCCTCACCTGTCTCCTCCTCTCCTCCTCCTGTCTCTCCACCACCTACTCCCTCCTCTCCTTCCTCCCTCCTCTCCTTCCACCTGTCTCTCCCCTCCTCTCCTTCCTCCTGTCTCTCCCCCACCTCCTCCACTCTCTCCTTCCTCCTGTCTCACCACCACCTCCTCCCTCTCCTGTCTCTCCTCCTCCTCCTTCCTCCTGTCTCTCCTCCTCTCCTCCACCTCCTCCTCCTCTCTCCTTCCTCCTGTCTCTCCCCCACCTACTCCTCTCCTCCTTCCCTCCTCCTCTCTCTCCACACCTACTCCACTCTCCTTCCTCCTGTCTCTCCACCTCCCCTCCCTCCCACTCCCTCTCTCCTCCTCCTGTCTCTTCCTCCTTCCACTCCTCCTCCACTCTCCTTCCTCCTCCTCTCTCTCCTTCCTCCACTCTCTCCTTCCTCCTGTCTCTCCACTCTCCTTCCTCCTGTCTCTCCACCACCTCTCCTTTCCTCCCCTCTCCACCCTCCACTCTCCTTCCTCCTGTCTCTCCACCTCCTCCTTCCTCCTGTCTCTCCTTCTCCTCCTGTCTTCCTCCTCCACCTCTCATTCCTCTCTCCTTCCTCCTGTCTCTCCACCACCTACCTCCTCTCTCCTTCCTCCTGTCTCTCCCTCCACCTCCTGTCTCTCCACCTCCTCTCCTCCTCCCTGTCTCTCCACCTCCCTCCTCCTCTCCACCCCTCTCCTTCCTCCTGTCTCTCCACTCCACCCACCTCCTTTCTCCCTCCTTCCTCCTGTCTCTCCCCTCCTGTCCTCCTCCTCTCTCCTTCCTCCCTGTCTCTCTCCACCTACTCCACTCTCTCCTTCCTCCCTGTCTCCTGTCTCCACTCTCTCCTTCCTCCTGTCTCCCCCCACCCACTCCTCTCTCTCCTTCCTCCTGTCTCTCCACTGTCCTAGTCCTCTCTCCTGTCTCCTGTCCTCTCCCCACATACTCCTGTCTCCCACCTCCTGTCTCTCCCTTTACCCACCTCTCTCTCTCTCCTTCCTCCTGTCTCTCCCCCACCTACTCCACTCTCTCCTTCCTCCTTCCTCCTGTCTCCACCACCTACTCCACTCTCTCCTTCCTCCTGTCTCTCCACCACCTAGTCCTCTCTCTCCTTCCTCCTGTCTCTCCCCTACCTACTCCACTCTCTCCTACCTCCTGTCTCTCCCCTACCTACTCCACTCTCTCCTTCCTCCTATCTCTCCACCACCTACTGCCCATCTCTGCTTCCACCCCTGTCTCTCTTCCACCTACTCCCCTCCCTCCCAACTACTCTATACTGCCCCTATCTCACTGGGTCTTTCTTATATTTCCCAATGTCTCTAACCTAGCTACTCCTTCTTCCTTTCCTATATGCATGGAGAACAACAAAAGTATGTGCTTGGATAGGTCAGTGATAGCTGACAGATAAGTCCTTGTGGCTGTCCTGCATCCCACCAATACATGCATGACCAGTAGCTGGCCAAATGTAAGTTCATCATGTCTGTCATATGTCACTGCTGGCAGGCACTACTGTGCATAAAGGTCACAAGTTGAAGTTAATCAACACTATGCCATTACATAACCCCACTTGACTCAGTCAGTTCATCGAAACAATACAATACAAATAAATATAGACACCAGTTTGGCCCAATAAGGAATTATCTCCTGTAAGCACATCTGCTGCATAATGCCAGTACTCTGTATCACAGTTAACACTGGAGCTAACATCAGCCTTCAGTGAAAGTGACAGAACAAGGCTTACTTTCTATTCAAATACTTTTGCCAATTATACATGAGTTACTACTTGGCCTTGTCATCAAGTAGAACATCAATTATTTCTGACAAAATATTGAAGAGCAGATATCATATTGTAATTAAGAAGCAGATCATTGCAGACTACTAAGAAGAAAGGCGATAAGAGTGAAGCTAATCGTTTGCTTACCTGGGTCAGTGATCAACAAGAACCAGTCTTACCCAATACTCTGTCTGCCCTTGCACTCTTGTAGCCTTACCCAATACACTGCCTGTGTAAGCACTCTTGTAACCTTACCCAATACGCAGCCAGTCTAAGCACTCATGCAGCATTACCCAATACCCTGCCTGTCCCAGAACACTTATAGCCTTACCCAATACGCTGTCTGTCCAAGAACACTTATAGCCTTACCCAATACGCTGCCTGTCCCAGAACACTTGTAGCCTTACCCAATACGCTGTCTGTCCAAGAACACTTATAGCCTTACCCAATACGCTGCCTGTCCCAGAACACTTGTAGCCTTACCCAATACGCTGTCTGTCCTAGAACACTTGTAGCCTTACCCAATACGCTGCCTGTCTCTGCACTCTTGTAGCGATGGTATAACACACAGGCCAGAATGATAATGAACAGCACAGCCAAGCCTCCCACAGCACCGCCGATGATGATTGGCAAGGGTGGAACAGCTACAATGTACAATACAATATTATTAATATGCGACTATCAACAGCTCATACTCTCAATCAGAGCAGTTATCAACTGTTAATGACTACGTCAGTCTCTACTGTTGTACCTTTTTCTATCAAGTGTATGACTGCTACATCCTTTCCGTAGTTGTTGATGACGCTGCAGTTATAATCACCAAAATCTTCTTCATTAACATTAATGATCTGAAGTGTGCTTTTTCTCCCATATGGTAGATCCTCCTCCATCGCTGAGAACCTGCCAGAGGTAGCATAGTTAATAGGAATACCATCCCTCATCCAGATGATCTTGTCGGGTTTGGGAACGGACATAGCCATACATTCCACTTCTGCGTTCTCCCCTGTTACAGCATACTGCTTCACCTCACTCATTATTGTAGGGGGGGCTGCAACAAATGAAGTCTCACGTTGAAACATGGATGTTCCATGGAACAAACAAACATCTGTGAGATTAACTGCATGGTGAATAAATTGTGAATAAAACCCAAACAACAGTTCTTGATCTGCAAGGATAAAATTGAGTGAGAGCTGGGTCGTGATACAACTCACCATTCTGTAGGAGATATATCTCCCTGCTTATAGAGTTGAATCCAAGGACATTGGCTGTGCAGACATACACCCCGAGATTCCCTTCCCCCACCTTGGGAATCCTAAGCTCAGGAGAACTGCCCTGTGGATGCAGGGACCCTTTCTTTGTCCAGATGATGCTGGGTGGGGGGTTGCCAGTAGCATCACACCTCAGGGTGGCTGGCTGGTTCAGATTGACGGCTGTATGTTGTGGATCACCAACAAACAATGGTCCAACTGCAACAGAAGACAGGAAAACACTCACACCTACAGACTCAAACTGCAACAGATGACAGGAAAACACTCACACCTACAGACTCAAACTGCAACAGATGACAGGAAAACACTCACACCTACAGACTCAAACTGCAACAGGGTACATGCTTGCCAACATACATCCCATATTCCAGGAACGCTGTTCATCCACAAAACTTACATTCTACATTGAGCTCCTTGTTCTTCCTGGTGCTGCCCACTGGGTTGCTTCCTTCACAGGTGATGGTGTTCTGGTGGTAGGCTCGGGAAATGGAGGGAATGTCCAGGACATCTCGAGTCTCCCCATGCAGGATACGACCATTCCTCAGCCACCTGCAACAAGCACTTGTTGAATACCTGGACACCTGGACACCTGGACACTAAAAGGTGAATGAATGTCTGGTGATAAGGTCCCATCATCTTCCAAATATAATTACATACCAGCCTTAACAGTTCCAGATACTAGTATCTGGTGATAAGATCTATTGTATGGGAAAGGATATCAGACAGTGTGTTTGGTCAGTAGCCTTCTGATTGCTGGACTTTCCTATGTTCACCTGGGGGAATGTAACTTCACTACTAGCACTGGCAGATGAATGTTTGTAGCACCCTCCCTACCTCCAAGTAATTCCCCTTGGATTTGCGGCTTCAACCCTGCAGAAGATACGGATGTAGTCGTATTCACGTATTGTGCGGGACAGGTTGGTCATCATGGTGATGTAAGGTGGATCTGTAGTGAACAAAACACATTCTGATTATGTGGACATCACACATGAAATACCCGTAGCAGGTACAATAAACTTAAATAAGGTGGGCCTTAATCCTGGACTATATGATAAGGTGGGCTTTGATACTGGACTATATGATAAAGTGGGCCTCAATATTGGACTATATGATAAGGTGGACCTTAATACTGAACTATATGATAAAGTGGGCCTCAATACTGGACTATATGATAAGGTGGGCCTCAATACTGGACTATATGATAAAGTGGGCCTTAATCCTGGACTATATGATAAGGTGGGCCTTAATCCTGGACTATATGATAAAGTGGGCCTTAATCCTGGACTATATGATAAGGTGGGCCTTAATACTGAACTATATGATAAAGTGGGGCTCAATACTGGACTATATGATAAAGTGGGCCTTAATCCTGGACTATATGATAAGGTGGGCCTTAATCCTGGACTATATGATAAGGTGGGCTTTGATACTGGACTACATAAGGTGGGCTTTGATATTGGACTATATGATAAAGTACGCCTCAATACTGGACTATATAAGGTGGGCCTTAATCCTGGACTATATGATAAGGTGGGCCTTAATCCTGGACTATATGATAAGGTTGGCTTTGATACTGGACTACATAAGGTGGGCTTTGTTACTGGACTATATGATAAAGTACGCCTCAATACTGGACTATATAATAAGGTGGGCCTTAATACTGGACTATATGATAAGGTGGGCCTTAATACTGAACTATATGATAAAGTGGGCCTCAATACTGGACTATATGATAATGTTGGCCTCAATACTGGACTATATGATAAGGTTCGCCTAAATACTGAACTATATGATAAGGTGCGCCTAAATACTGGACTATATGATAAAGTGGGCCTCAATACTGAACTATATGATAAAGTGGGCCTCAATACTGGACGATATAATAAGGTGGGCCTCAATACTGGACTATATGATAAGGTGGGCCTTAATACTTTACTACTGTAAACGTATTATATTTCGTGCAGGTTTTATTTTCACGCTTTTCGCGCAAAACATTTTAGCGCGAAATTTATACACCTTAATACTGGACTATATGAATAAACCTGTCATTCATTCAGTCTAGCCACGTTCGCCCCTGAGTTGTTACCATAACATATCAAGTTTGAAGACAGAAATCTACGGGAATCTTAAAATGACGACTGATAGTAGCATAAAGAATCATACTTAACTGTCGCTGTAATGTATTTCCCAAAACATAATTAAATAATGAGCCAAATCCCATCGCCGAATTAGCGAAAACAGCAATGTGTGTTGCGGCCGCCATGGAAATTGGTCACATGACAGATGGTTTGATACAAAACAGATTACCATGAAACGACTCGGAAAGAAATAATACAGCAGTATTTTATTTATTCATTAAGATTTTATTTACCAGTACATCATGAAGCGAATAGTCACTTAACACTCAATCATCTCATTCACAACAACCCGGCTTGTTTGAAATCACAAAGAGCTTCATAAACAGTAGAAGTTAATTCGTCAGATCGTCAGAATTCGGAACATAAGACTGATGTGTTTTTCATCTCTTCCGTGAGTAAACGGATTACTGTGTACTAGTATATCGCACAGATAGGGATTTCCTGTGAGTATGCAATAAACGCCGCCTGACAGGTTAAGCCACTCTGTTTGTTTTCACTGCTATTAGTGGCGGCCAAAGAAACAGCTGGCAGTTAGGGCAATTACTGATTGCGCGAATAATTGACCGCGCGATGTAGTCTAAACTGTCAATTCCGCGAAAATTGCACCACTCGAAAATAAGTACGTTTACAGTATATGGTAAGGTGGGCCTTAAAACTGAACTATATGATAAAGTGGGCCTCAATACTGGACTATATGATAAGGTGGGCCTTAATACTTTACTATATGGTAAGGTGGGCCTTAATACTGAATTATATGATAAAGTGGGCCTTAATACTGGACTATATGATAAAGTGGGGCTTAAAACTGAACTATATGATAAGATTGGCCATAATGCTGGACTATATGATAAGGTGGGCCTTAAATCTGAACTATATGATAAAGTGGGCCTCAATACTGGACTATATGATAAGGTGGGCCTTAAAACTTTACTATATGGTAAGGTGGGCCTTAATACTGAATTATATGATAAGGTGGGCCTTAATACTGGACTATATGATAAAGTGGGGCTTAAAACTGAACTATATGATAAGATGGGCCTCAATACTGGACTATATGATAAGGTGGGGCTTAATACTGGACTTTATGATAAAGAGGACTTCAATACTGGACTGTATGATAAAGATGCTGGACAATACTGGACAATATGAATTAGAGAACCTCAATAAAGAAAAATGCAATACACAGATGCAGGGATGTACACTGTTAACAGTTACAGGTAATGAATGTATCATAGGCTACATGTTTCCTCCTAGCCTTTTCACACAGACCTCTCCTACATATATACAGCACTTCAACTGCACTGACAATCTGTTGTCACAGAGCATGAACATTGCAGTGTGTGGCATTAAACAACAAAAAAGCCCTGATTCTGTGATGACTTACACTGCACATCCAGGGTGGCAAAAGTTGAAAAGGGTAACACCATAGCCTCATTTTCAGCTTTGCACTCTATCCGTCTGCCTTCATCATCCTTGGTTGCATTGATGGTGATAATTCCTACAGAATCTACCCGCTTGTCATTTACTTTTGGAATACTTCTGGAATAGATCATCTCTGTCAAGCGCTGCCCATCCATATGCCAGGTGATGGTTGCAGAAGGTTTGCCGTTGTTGGCACGACAGGTAATATTGGCTAGGCGGCCAACTACCACTGCAACCCTCATCCCATTCTCTATCCGGGGTCTGTCTGGGGGTACTGTTGTAAACAGAGGAAACTGGTGATCAAGTCCAAAATGATTCAAAGGTTTATAGATAGATGTGTAGTTGATTCAATGCAAGGTTCTTGTGCATGATTCACTCTCCAGTCTATAGATATACATGTGTAGTTGATCAATGTATGCTTCCTGTGGATGATTGTATGGTCAGTCAATAGGTATTTGGTTTAGTGGATTCAGCTAGCTGTGCTGGTTACGATTTTGAAAAATTGCTTCCATGATGTATTAAAGTAAGTGTTTAACCTTTCCAATAATGTCATGAAAGCAATTACAGTTGCAAAAAATATTGCTTTTGATTGAAAGAGTAAAAAGTGTAACATACATAAAACATTTAGCTTAGCTGTATGACTGCGTATCCCCTGGACATTTTCTGTGGCGCCAACTTGGCACTGGTACTCAGCGTCATCCTCCAGGTTGACTTCTGTGATCTTCAAGTTGTGCTCACCTGCAGTTATCACACACATGCACACTGACAGTGTTGGTCAATAAGGATATCAACTAGTTCTCTGCAAGACCTGTTTTTCACAAAGAACCAAATTCTCATGCTTTAGGTTATGTGCTGAAATTGTGATTGATGCTGTAGCCTTCAGTGCATGACATTTTTATACACTTTCTGCAAAACACTGGTTTAGTTGTCACTAAACATCTGTCAAAATATTTCCTATGTACCAAATTCTACAAAACACATGTCAGCAACACAGTATAATGTCATCACCTCATCATGGTGCAAAAACATTAATCATCTAAAATCAGCTGAGCTAATCAACAATAATTTCACAAACAATTACAGATCCCATTGATGTATTAACGTAAAAACCTCACCTCACCCCACTTTCATCACATCCCACTCTTAATATCCTACCTACTGGTCCTGATATCCTCCTGCTAGTGTCTCACCCATTGGTCCTCATATCCTACTGCTAGTGTCTCACCATTGGTTATGATATCCTCCTGCTAGTGTCTCACCTATTGGTCCTGATATCCTACTGCTAGTGTCTCACCCATTGGTCCTGATATCCTCCTGCTAGTGTCTCACCCATTGGTCCTGATATCCTACTGCTAGTGTCTCACCCATTGGTCCTGATATACTGCTAGTGTCTCACCCATTGGCTAGCTGTCTCACCCATTGGTCCTGATATCCTACTGCTGTCCTGATATCCTACTGCTAGTGTCTCACCCATTGGTCCTGATATCCTCCTGCTAGTGTCTCACCCATTGGTCCTGATATCCTCCTGCTAGTGTCTCACCCATTGGTCCTGATATCCAACTGCTAGTGTCTCACCCATTGGTCCTGATATCTTATGGCTAGTGTCTCACCCATTGGTCCTGATATCCTCCTGCTAGTGTCTCACCCATTGGTGCTGATATCCTACTGCTAGTGTCTCACCCATTGGTCCTGATTTCCAACTGCTATTGTCTCACCCATTGATCCTGATATCCTACTGCTAGTGTCTCACCCATTGGTCATGATATCCAACTGCTAGTGTCTCACCCATTGGTCCTCATATCCTACTGCTAGTGTCTCACCCATTGGTCCTGATATCCTACTGCTAGTGTCTCACCCATTGGTCCTGATATCCTATGGCTAGTCTCTCACCCATTGTTCCTGATATCCTCCTGCTAGTGTCTCACCCATTGTTCCTGATATCCAACTGCTAGTGTCTCACCCATTGGTCCTCATATCCTACTGCTAGTGTCTCACCCATTGGTCCTCATATCCTACTGCTAGTGTCTCACCCATTGGTCCTGATATCCTACTGCTATTGTCTCACCCATTGATCCTGATATCCTATGGCTAGTCTCTCACCCATTGGTCCTGATATCCTATGGCTAGTCTCTCACCCATTGGTCCTGATATCCTCCCGCTAGTGTCTCACCCATTGGTCCTGATATTCAACTGCTAGTGTCTCACCCATTGGTCCTCATATCCTACTGCTAGTGTCTCACCCCTTGGTCCTCATATCCTACTGCTAGTGTCTCACCCATTGGTCCTCATATCCTACTGCTAGTGTCTCACCCATTGGTCCTGATATCCTACTGCTAGTGTCTCACCCATTGGTCCTGATATCCTACTGCTAGTGTCTCACCCATTGGTCCTGATATCCTACTGCTAGTGTCTCACCCATTGGTCCTGATATCCTACTGCTAGTGTCTCACCCATTGGTCCTCATATCCTACTGCTAGTGTCTCACCCATTGGTCCTCATATCCTACTGCTAGTGTCTCACCCATTGATCCTCATATCCTACTGCTAGTCTCTCACCCATTGGTCCTCATATCCTACTGCTAGTCTCTCACCCATTGGTCCTCATATCCTACTGCTAGTGTCTCACCCATTGGTCCTCATATCCTCCTGCTAGTGTCTCACCCATTGGTCCTCATATCCTACTGCTAGTGTCTCACCCATTGATCCTCATATCCTACTGCTAGTCTCTCACCCATTGGTCCTGATATCCTACTGCTAGTCTCTCACCCATTGGTCCTCATATCCTACTGCTAGTCTCTCACCCATTGGTCCTGATAATGTTTACTCATTGTCCTGTTTATTGTTACTGTGTTTAGCAATTGCTGTGATATCCTCATATGTCAGTGAGGGAATGGCTGACTGACTTACCAATAGTCTCTGACCCCACTTGTGTTTGTCCGCCAATCATCTGATATCGAGGGAATCCTGGCAGATTTCTGTCCATCCCAAGAGCAAAGTTGTCCCTGGTCCACTGAAGGCCACCCACCATATTGGCTACTTTACACTTCAGTATGGCAGTACTTCCCTCAATTGCACTTGTGTCCTGGGGTTCGATGATAAACCTCTGTTGGGCCATCACCCCTGGAAGTGAATGTGGACAACTATACCAAATGTCAGTGTCTTCTATCAACTCAGTTAACTATCTACCCATATAATAAAACTTATCAAATCAGGTCAAAATAATCATGTGAAATCGTGAAGTGACGTAAACCATTTCAGATTCCATTCTGATAACTGATCATCCCCCTACTAAACAGCTTCGATCAAATCTACGCTGAAAATCTACGGGTTGCATCTGGCCAGCATTGGATACTGACATATTATGTCACAGAGAAAAATGTGCCAAAATGAATTTAGTACAGAGAAGTTCACCTTGTCTTGAAGGTGAAACATAGAAGTGGTGAAATACCAGCATTCAAAGGGATGACATAATCTCACACTATTCACCTCCGACTTTAATCTGCTGCTGTCAAACACTGTATCTAATTTTCACAGTAATGAGACAAGCCCACCCAGGTGGCAGTGCTGAGATGGTAGCCAGCATGTTTACACAGTAAGCAAAGTCTCGGAACATCCATCACCTCCAGAGACCAATTACCTTCAGGCCAGTGACATAACGAACAACTGTGAGATAGAGATTCATCCATGTAGATATGGCAACATCCATTATCATAGGATAAAACCAGCATCTGGACATTGCCACATCAGTTGATGCTGTGATGTATGGGGTTAACTGAGGTGGCAGTGTCCAGTTGATGTTGTGATGTATGGGGTTAACTGATGTGGCAGTGTCCAGTAGATGCTGTGATGTATGGGGTTAAGTGATGTGGCAGTGTCCAGTAGATGCTGTGATGTATGGGGTTAACTGGTGGCAGTGTCCAGTAGATGCTGTGATGTATGGGGTTAACTGATGTGGCAGTGTCCAGTAGATGCTGTGATGTATGGGGTTATTGTGGCAGTGTCCAGTAGATGCTGTGATGTATGGGGTTAACTGATGTGGCAGTGTCCAGTAGATGCTGTGATGTATGGGGTTAACTGATGTGGCAGTGTCCAGTAGATGCTGTCATGTATGGGGTTATTGTGGCAGTGTCCAGTAGATGCTGTCATGTATGGGGTTAACTGATGTGGCAGTGTCCTGTAAATACTGTCATGTATGGGGTTAACTGATGTGGCAGTGTCAAGTAGATGCTGTCATGTATGGGGTTAACTGATGTGGCAGTGTCCAGTAGATGCTGTCCTGTATGGGGTTAACTGATGCCACATCAGTTAACCATGTATATCACAGCATCTACTGGACACTTCAACATCAGTTAACCATGTATATCACAGCATCTACTGGACACTGTTACATCAGTGACACTCTTACTGTCACATCAGCTTTCCACCATACATCTCTCAGAATTTGCAAAATATTCCTTCGCAGCTGCTTTACAAACACCAAAATGTAAACTAATTCTATAAGTACAATATTAGTCTTCCAGCAATGAAACATGACAGGATGGTTGAAACCATTGCTGTCTGACTTCATGGTTGTCTACCAGATTCTATTTGTTTACACTTTAGATTTCTCTGCTCCATTCAATGTTATTTCTAATACTGCCTGCATCTACTGCTAACTATGCCAGTCCCTTGTGTAATGTTGATGTACCAGCACCAAGAGGCAGACGAGATGCACCACATCAGTAAGTCCAGGCGTAGACTGCCACGAATGCATACAGGATCAGACAGAGTAATTGCAAAATGACACAAAACGGTAGTCATTTTCCCATCAAATATGTTCATCACAAGAACATGGTGTTCTCGGCCAGGCCCAAATGTCAGAGGGGAGATAATCGGCGCTGCTCTTCATGACAAACTGAGCAGAGACAAGCGAGAGCACCCTGATTGGAAATCAATGAGAATTATTGCAGGAACTCTTTTATCAGAATCAGAGTCCACAGGAAGTGACAACTAACGACTTGGCTCCTTCCACCTGCAATGCCAGCTTCATTACATATGAGGTGAACCAAGCAGGGGCCAACACTAGCCCTTACTTCACTCACAGGCCATGTGCAAGTCGAATTTCCAGCAGTGTACAAAATTTATTTTCAATCGTCTTAAAGTCTTACCACAAGTGATACAAGGAAAATGGGAAAAAGTTAATGGATTGATTCTATACTTGCAATTTACTAGAATAGATTTCAACAAATAATGGAGTTTTCTTCTGTTGGCGCGCCTGTTAAATCATTTGTGCCAAGCTTAGTATAGAAGAAAAGTAATCAAGGACATGGGGAAAGTTAGATCAACTTCTCATGTGTGAGGACTTAATCACATTTTGCCTGCTTGCAAAATCAATATTTTCCATGTAAGTATGATAAAAATGTGTGAGTTCCAATACTTCAAACATCCTGCCATCTCAAACAGAATTACACATGCTGACTGATCACCAGAACTTGCTTGACTTGTTGCAGTGTTGCATTGTGGGGAACTAAAGATGGCAACCCTCCACTGCTGCCCTTGTCAACCTTACATCAGGTGATGTTGGCAGGTGTCAGTACTGGGGTGTCTACTGGGGTGGACAACCACAGTAGATGCCCCAGTACTGGCACCTGTCAACATAACCTGATGTAAGGTTGACAACAACAGTAGACGCCCCAGTACTGGCACCTGTCAACATAACCTGATGTAAGGCTGACAACCACAGTAGAGCCGCCCAGTACTTCCAGTACTGGCACCTGTCAACATAATCTGATGTAAGGTTGACAACAACAGTAGACGACGCCCAGTACTGGCACCTGTCAACATAATCTGATGTAAGGTTGACAACCACAGTAGACGGCCCAGTACTGGCACCTGTCAACATAACCTGATGTAAGGTTGACAACCACAGTAGACGCCCCAGTACTGGCACCTGTCAACATAACCTGATGTAAGGTTGACAACAACAGTAGACGCCCCAGTACTGGCACCTGTCAACATAACCTGATGTAAGGCTGACAACCACAGTAGACGCCCCAGTACTGGCACCTGTCAACATAATCTGATGTAAGGTTGACAACCACAGTAGATGCCCCAGTACTGGCACCTGTCAACATAATCTGATGTAAGGTTGACAACCACAGTAACAGTACTGGCACCTGTCAGTACTGGCACCTGTCAACATAACCTGATGTGTAAGGTTGACAACGACAGTAGACGCCCCAGTACTGGCACCTGTCAACATAACCTGATGTAAGGTTGACAACCACAGTAGACGCCCCAGTACTGGCACCTGTCAACATAACCTGATGTAAGGTTGACAACCACAGTAGACGCCCCAGTACTGGCACCTGTCATCATCACCTGATGTAAAGTTCCCAGTACTGCAATGCAATGTTGCCACCGTGAACCTGGTTGATGCCTGACCACCACAGTGTTGCCTGCTGCAGACAAGACACCACTCACTCATACAGAGCTGTTATCAGCCAAGTAATAGATTTCGGAAGTGTAACATGACAATATTCAGTCAATAACTCGGATCAAATTCAGGATATTTACACATATCTAAAGTGCACATGAGCAAAACATCTGGATGAGCAATGAGTTGGAGTCTTTTACGTAACATGATCTATCATGATCTGGTCTTTGAAAAGCATTTAGAAATGAAACACATGAGAGAGAGAATTTATGGATGTCAACAAGAACGCAACATTCCAGAGTATGAGCTTACTCCTTCATCCGACAAATGACTTGCTGATTGAGTGAGCATGTACTCCAAAATGCTTTCCTGAAAATAAAGAACATGACCTCCATAAATTCTCTCCCAAATTTCCATTCAGCTGTTTACTGTTAACATGTCCTCGTTTCTATCATGATAAATTAGGAGAACTATGTAATAATATCATCATACACATACAAGTCTGAGCCAACTGTTTTAAAATATTCCTACAAAATATTAAACTTGGCTTGATATACATTAATCTAAGATTATACTCAGTATACCTGGATTAGCCCACAGAGGACTTACCTGTTCCTGAACCGCTGCACACTTTGCCAGATGTATACATATTACCAAAATATTCTCTAGTCAAGCCAAATTTATCTACTTCATTTTCAAAGAGCAACACCATGTTCTTGTGGTCGTCAATGGATGGGACTGTCACATGAAAATGTGAATTATTTCTCAAAGTGGCTTCCAACGGCCATAATCATGTGATAAAATAATTAAGTATTGATTTGGGCCTCCACTTGTTCAATTTACGCCAGTCACATCCCAAAGATGGATAAAAATATCAATTAATAGCCTTCTCTGTTCTAGACACCTCAATTAATGTAGCCATAAATTTCCACAAACAGGACATTCTGACATGGGGGGGAGCACTGATTGAATGCGCAAGGGCAAAAACTGGCATAAAACTTTGAAAGGGGTCATAGTTTTGGGATGGGGTTATCTTGTCTTGGTAATATGTACCACCCCTTGCAGCATGCAGGGTTCATTATAGAGACAATCACCTATTTCTTGTCTAATTCCATTGTGTTAGTTAGGGCTGATGGTTTATCTGCTGTATTAGCTATACACCAGATGTTTTAATCAACACTAGCTGGGGTATTGAGGGGCTCGCCTATCAAGCATCATGCACCACTTCCCACATCCAGACCCAGGACTCTGGCCTGAGCATTACCCTGAGGTGGAATAGAGTGAAAATCACAATCTCATCAGTGATTAAATCTTCACTATTAACAGGAAAACATTTCATTCATTTCTTAAATAACAACAGCATTTTTTACAGTGAGTGAGTGAGTGAGTTAAGATTTAACGCCACATCAGCACTGTTTCAGTTATCAAAATACTATTCAGAGGATTTAGAAATATCACTAGATATGCTCATAACTAAAGTTGCAGTGTGCAGCTCATGCATCCTACAGCTGCTCCACAGTCAGTGCGTGATTCCAGGAGCTGCACATTCCTTTATGCATGTTTCAGTGCAGAGGAAGTATTACTACTTGTCTTATATCAGAAAGAGATGTGTAATTTGTTTTGTCCTTCTTTAACCTGATTCACTCGAAGTGAAGTAATCCCCTACAATGCACAAAACCCACCGTCAGCTTTAACGCTTCACATA